CGTGATCCTTTTACTTTTCAATTTTTCAATTCCAATCGTTCCTTTTTCATGCTAAATAAATTATTTATTTTTATGAAGATATAACTGTGTTATACATCGAATTTTTGAATACTTCGTAAGATTTTATTGTCGATTTCCTTTCTTTTAGTCTTCTTTCATACTAGAAAGTTCCTTTTTTCTAGACTTCTTTTCTTTTGTACTGAAAAATTCCTTTTTTGACTTCTTTACTGTTCTACTGATTTGATACACGAATTAATATTTCGGAAGAAAAATATTTTATCGTATAAGAACGTCGTAAGAATAGAATTTAGATAAAAATAAGTAGGAATGAGGTCATGGAAGACCGAGATTAATCGAAGTAAAAGTCAATTGCATAGCGAAATGGGAACAATCGTACGCAATCTATCACCATCGGTATTAGTGGTTTTGTTAAGAATAAAATCACAACGAAAAAGTATGTACGTCGTTGTCTTCGTTTTAATTGATTTGTTTTTGCCTTCATTTTATATCTTCAGTGTTTTCGAGATTGGGCGATTTTGATGGAAAAAAGTCAGCTACTGTACACTCGTTATTAATCCTGCAAATATATGTCTTTTTTGATTCAGTATTGAGATAGTAACACGTGAATCATCGTTCTCTGATTGAATGAAACATTTATTTAATCCATTTACTCCAATATCGAAATACATTTTTTATTGTTCAATCTTTGTATATAATATACTTTCATATTTTTCATATAATTACTTTGGTATTATAACATCAAGCATCTTCGATTTGCATTTGCCAAAAAACAAATAACATTTTTGAGCACAAAATTTTATTTTTTCATCTCCACGAAAGTAAGTAATTTATTTATCACAAAGAAGAATCATTGGAACGCAAAAATTGAAAACTACAGAGGATCAGTGACGAGTGTGATAAAAATTAAAGATTAATTATACCAAATTTAACGCAAAAAATTTAAATACATTTCTAAATAGTGACATTTTTTACGCGAAAATTTGTTTAACTTTCATGGTATTAAGTAGCAAAATTTGATCGTTGAATGCGATATAAAATTTTAGGAGCCGTGCCAATTGTAAGAATTTACAACTGTCGGTCGCATAAGCGATCAGACCTGACAGAATAGCCCAGTTGAATGCAATTGACGCGATATCGTGTATTGTCCATCATGGATAACCCGTCGTTTTTCCGAAGAAGCGTTTTATTACTCGAGAAAATTGGCATCACTCGTTGTCATCGATGACAATGGAGAGTAATTACATTATCACGGTGTTGTATGATCGACATTCGATGCAGTAAGTTATAAAACGTATAGTCATCGGCTCGTGTCTTGCAGAAGCGAGGTCTTTTCCATTTGGAAGACAGATCGATTTAAGACCGGCGAGATCGTTGCACCTGTTATTTAGAGCTGAAGAAACTATCAAGCGTGAAAAATGTTTTTACCAAGATAACTAATCGAGATAAAACGCGGGATCTTAGAATCGAGGTGGTTGTATCTTGTTCCAAACTTATTCAGAGCTTATTCGCGACACACAGGCCTTCGATCGAGCCGACCAACTAGATATCAATTATTCAACCGTTACTATCGCGTAATTTTTTATCTTGTGATACGTTTACCTGTTTTTATACACTTTGTAGAATTTCAGATCGATTATTCGGTAGATAAATCTGGTTATTTTCAAACGAAAAGATTCTTATATATTGTTATTCTTTTATTGTATTTTCTTGAAATTATCTTTTGATAGAGACTTACTGAATGTGAGGAAACCTTCGACAGTCACTAGAAACTTATTAAGATCGTGAAAAAAAATTGTTTAGTCTGGAATTTCGTAGTGCAACGAGTATAAATAGGTGTCTATTTCTAATTAAGGTGCCAAAATAAAAATAGGGTCCTAACTGTGTGTCGATGATTGTGTCACACGAAACGTTGACACGAAATTGAGTTTGAAAATAAGTTGTAGATCGTTGAACTTGTCTCGACAACCGCTTTCGTATGATATAAAGAGAGTTATATTATAGTTAGCAATTTTGAAAGAATTCGTGGTATCGTTGTTACGCGAAAGTCATTGCAAATTTAAAAAAATCTATTCGAGTCGTCGTATTGTGTATAAGAAATAATTAAACTTTGTGCTTTTCTATTTTTCCTATAGATCTACTATTTACGAGAAAAACATTGTAGCAACGATAAGAAATCTGCAAAAGTGAGAAAACTAATTTAAATCACTCTCTGTACAAATATAACAGGTGTCCTAATACTTATGAACCGCAGTCTACATTTAAAAATCTTTAATATTGTTGCAACGATAAGAAATCTACGAAAATGTGAAAATTACAAAATACAAATTTCTGTACAAATATACCCGGTGTCCTAGTAATTACGAACCGTAGTGTGCATTTAAAACCTTTAATATTATTACTTTATCGTAGCAACAATAAGAAATCTGCAAAAAATGAGAAATCTCCAAAATGGATAGAAATTTGACGGTCGAATAAATTCCGATGGACTAATCGAATCAGAATTAAAGGTTGATATTAGTGGAGCGAATGCAACGATGTCAGATGAAACGTTGGGCCAAACCTGAAGTTGTGCTCTCGAGGAGAGCGTAGCCCAGCTGTGGGCGCGGCGGATATCCCGCTGTGTCTCTCCAACATGGCCGACAACGCGGTATGCACACCCACGCTGTCTCTCTTTCTCATCGCGTCCTCCATTTCTTTCTGGTTCCTCTAGCGCATCAAATTACACGCTCGGTGAAGTAATTTTCGAAGGCGCGTCCGTGATCGAGCGTGATGCAGAAACATATCCGTTACCCTTGAGTTCAGATGCGCGGTGTTAAAATTTGCGATCACCGATAAAGATGCCTAAAGATTAATGGCTAGGTGCCAACCGGTTTTGTCTGTGCCCCGTGTACACGCGTCAAATGATTTTTGAAATTATACGCGTACTTATACGTATATAGGAAATAAATGATTCCATCTTGCAACGTGAACCATTACAGAGGATACAGCGAAACCTGTAACGCGATAAAATTATCGATAATGAGTTTCTTGTTGACTTTGCGGAATTTTGTATTAAATATAGAATTAATTTTATTGGTATTGTGAAAATTGATATTTTCTATCCTAATTTGTGAATGAATATTCTTAAGAGGGTGAAAAGTATTTTATCATTTTTTTTTTTTAATGAAATATTTGGAAAAGTATCAACGCAAAGGTTTGATGTCCGTTTTCTAGAAATGAAATGAAAATTTGCAGATACTTTGGCGTGATATTATTATTAATTTAATTCATAAAGTACACTGTTTTTAAATTACCTGGTATACCAAACATTTACGAGCAAAATTCGTAATATCTACAATCTAAGATTATAAAATGTAAAATAGGTTGTCCGATACATTATAAGATTTATAGATAAAAATATACCTAAGTTAAAAAGTCGGCACTTTGGATCCATAATTTTTCTGAAATTAATACAAAAATTTTCTTTACTCACAGAACATATGCATGCAAATCATCTCCATAGATCATAAATTACACACCAAAATAAGTAAAATTCATTAATATAATGTTTAAAATTAACGAACAAATGGCACCTTCAATCTTTTCGTTCCTTTGTTATCATAAAGGGTGTCGATACTTCAAATTGCCATAAATTGAGAAATAAGAATACCCTGCATTGGATATAAATAAACAACGAAACGGGATTAATTAGAAAACCTGACAAATTGCGGTGGTTGAGTTTGTCGATGTTGCTCACGGTGTAGCCGCGTAATAACGACTTGGTTTAGATTAGCGAAGAAAATCTGTATATTAGTTAACAAGGTTGAATACGAACTCGGCGAAATTGGCTCAATTAAAAGCTACGGGCCAACTGCCCTGACGATTGTGCCCTGTCATGTGATTGGTCCATTCTCCCAGGTTCTTTCTTCTCCTTTCGATCTCCTCCATTTCGAGATGTATCGATACTTGGCCACCATTAATCATGAACTTTTGTACACACTCGTCGATAGGACTCCCTACGAGGGACACTTGGACTGCAGCAAAAATAAATCTTGTAGATTACCATTTTTATTACGAACGTCGCGATCGAGATCGAATGTTACTAACTTGTGCAAACCGATCACATAGAAAATCGTAGTATAGATTAAATTTTCATTGATATAAAATTCCTGTATTTATGAAATGTGTAAATTTATCGTGGAAATTATTGTACTCGTA